ACAGATGTGTTTGTTATGATTATGTAAAATTCATACATTTAGAAAAAAAGTTATAAATTAAATATTTTAAGTGTTACAGACATAAAACACATTCTAATACTTATACATGCATACATACATACTTAAATACATGCATACATAAATGTAAATATAGTGTACAGAAACATGCCTGTGGAGGGGGGGGGGAGGGTATATGTGCCTGTGCATATGTGTTTTATGAGTAAGAGCATGAATGTCTCTATGTGTACATGCCCAATGACTCTGATGTATGTAAATAAACATAGGAACACATAAACAATGCCTAATAAAGGAAAGTAATTGAGAATTGTTAACTATGGAGCCAATTAGGTAAGTAAAACATGAGTATTCTCCTTTCAAAAGATCATCATAATAATAATAATAAAAAAATAATAATAATAATAAGCATAATAAAAAAATAATATGATATTAAAAGAAAAAGAAAAACTATTTAACAAACTCAAGAATGTGATCTTCAGATCTCTACATCTCTAAATTCTTGTGTAAATGTGAATCATTTCATGGCTAGGTCACCTGTGCATAAAACGAAAATATATTTATATATCTATCTTCATAGAGATAAAGGTAAAGACATAAATGTGAATTGCTTTTTTTTTTTTTCTTTCCCTCTTTTCAAAAGATTATGGATAAATATATGCAAGCTTATATGAAAAATATAAATAGGTAAAATCTAACATATGTATATACAACAACCCCAAAGATATATTTTAAAAAATCATTATGACTAACAATGTGAAAAAAATAATTATCATTAGAGAAATATTAAGAATTAGATTAATCCAATGGTCACGGATGTCTACTGCAATTTCAATTTATTGTGTTAACGCATAGATGGCTCCACAAGGACTTAATTACCAGAAAAGTAAATTATTAATCCTACTTATCATTAATATTCCCCCTTTTCCTTGATCTTAGGCAAGATTTGTTTTTTTCTTTTATGGTTTTTGTATCTTAATAACATGATAATAAACATATTGTCAATAATAATAACAATAACAGTACCAATATCAATAGCATTTAGAAAAATAAAATAAAAAAATCCAGAAAATTCAAGGGTTTGGGAAATCGTAAGTGGTCACATGGGGCCTAGTAATTGACTCCTTGGTGGCTGAGCACTTGTCGAGCCCTCTGTGCGCAACATAATTTGCGCAAAACTACAGTAGACACACATGTAGCTTCAGCCGATTGTTTAACATTATTCTAAAATGGTAATCTATATACCAAAAATAATCTTATATCTTTTAAAAATTGGACTTTATATAAGCCATTTCATTTCCCCACAAAAATGCATTAATATTACTTGAAATATCAAATATTAATTAATCATACAATAATGACAACAATAATAATGATAATAATAGTTAACAATAACAACAATAACAATAATAATGATAAAGGTAATAATAATAATGATAATAATAATGATAATGATAATGATAATGATAATAATAAAACTAATAATAATAATAATAATAATAATAATAATAATAATAATAATAATAATAATAATAATAATAATAATAATAACAATAATAATAATAATAATAACAATCATTAAATCATAATCATAATAATGATAATAATAGTATTAATAGTAATAAAAATTACAATAATAACAACAATAACAATATACATTATAACAAAAAAAAAGATAATAACAACATGAAGGTGATGTGTCGCTATTCCTACATACTAACAACTCAGAAGGTACATTTACGTAAAAAAAGAAACAACAGCAGAAAACAACACACGCAGAAACCAAAGAGACATAAAAATATAGGAATTTAGTGATATATTGATTGACAGTCTCATTTGAGAGATTTTCTTTTTGCTAAAACATCTGAAGGAATTTTGAATACCAAGAGAATAACATTTATTGACAAATTTTTTCTTCCCTTTTCAAAAGTAATCTAAATAAACCAATGAATTGATATGCATGGCTAAAATATGAATATTACATTCTCAAAATATTATTGTGAAAAAACACTGATTTGAGATATGTCAGTACACTACAGATCCTAAATAAAATACTTATATGTAGTACCACAACTTTCTCTCAATGATAAGAATGTCAGTTCAGTTATTAGCAATATACAAAATGTAGAGCACAACAAGGGATGATACGTTACAAATAATACAAATAAAAAACATATACAAAAATAGAAAAATGATGTAATTTCACCATAGTAACAGAACAACAAAAATAATATCCAAGGCTTGATCTTCAAGACAAAAACATGTTTATGATAAGAACAAAAACAAGTACAAATTAAATTTAATAGCATACATTTATATAAAAAAGGGTTCCTGATGACAAACATATAACAGAAAATAAAAATAAAAAAAGCTAATAGGAAAAATTCACACCTACTTACATGACACTGGAAAGCAAAAAACAGAGACAATTTTTTAATTTATAAAATATTTTTTTACTTGACCTGTTCAGTCACAGTTTTATAAT